CTGCCACCACCCATACAAAACCTGCGGTGCACTGGGGCATGGTGGTCAAGAGCCCCAGTGAGGTCGCTTCTGATCCCTGATGCCACAGCCAGCTGTTCCTTAAGGCTCTTCCCTTCTGTATGTTTAAAAGTACAGTTTTCTTCGTTTTTCTTGTCTCCTTGGTCAGTACCTTCATCTGAGGAATACAAATTTAATTGTAAACAGTAATTTTTCACTTTTTGGATCCTTTGTTCAGAAATTGTATATTCTGATGCACAGTGTAGGCCGAAAGTGCACATTGTGTCTAACACTGTGAAAAGGAGTTGCAAGAATAACCTTCCCGAATTCAAAGCCTAAACATTCCCTGGGTTAATCCCGTCTCCTGCAGGAAGAGCTGTCTTTCACTGCCAGCCAGTCAAGCTGACGTGAGGTGTGTGCTTGAACAGATAACGTTATTTCACAGCCAATTTCATTCCGCAAATCATGTGCAATCTGTTACACTGGAAGCTCCCTCTTGGTTGGCAGTAATGCTTTGCTGCCAGACTGTAGCTCTTTATTTTGGTTTTTGACTTTGTTAGCACTTTTTTGCCTTTGTCCAACAAAATTTGTCTTAATAATTCATGGCGTTAGTGTTTGCTGTAAGATGGGATACCTGACTATCAGTGGCAGTGTTTTAAATATTAGATGAAATCTGGGAATTTGATTATGGTGACAACATCTTGAGTCTGTTAAGTGTCAGTCTCTTACAGTCACATCACCCTGACAAGGAAGAAAGACTCAGCTGAGTATTTATGGTTTGTTAACATATATATATTTGAAAAAAAAAAAGTACGAGAAAGAGGTAACAAGTGATCCATACCTGAATTGTTTAGTGGCTCTGAGTCACAATCTTACCAGTATGTTGTGAAATCTGCAGATGTAGCTTCTGGCTTGTACTGCCCATCTGTTTTTAATATTCTGAACGTTAGTGGAATATACTTTGAAGGTGAACAAAAAAAAAATCTTTTAAAATGGGTAAGATCCAAATGTAACTTAAAATGTGACCTGAAGTTCAAAAATAAACAGTAAATGATAGGAACAGCAGTTGAAACAGCTTGACGCTTGAGAAGGATGCGAGGTAGCATGCTAATGCCTGTATGTAGCTTTGGTTGCAAAATTGTGTGCTGTTGCCTTATCTGGGTTGGAATGTCTGAGCTTTCTCCATCTCTGTGGTCCTTCTCATATTGCCATCTTACAGCTCGCTTAGATGCTCAAACACATCTTTCTAGTTTTTCCACAGCTCTCCTTGGCTGTGATACAAGAATCTTCAGAACACCTGAGCTGCAGTTGGCTGGAGCCAGTGTGTGTTTTGCTGAATAGTGTTGTCTTCCTTTTTCCTTCTAGTTCTCTCCCTGCCTCTGTTCCTCTCTGATCTGTGGTTTCCATCGGAATTGGAACTTGCTTGGCCAGAGTCTGTTTTTGTTCAGAGTTTGTAGAGTGCCTAGCGCAAGGAGATTCTTGCCCATGACCGTCACTGTGAGACATTAAATCACAAATAGATGAATAACTTTATGGAAATGTGGCACTGAGAGAATTTTAGTCACTATTTGTGTGAGATGGAATTTATTAAAGTTACCTTCTTTTGACGTATGGACAAAATGTAATAACCTGTTGAAAGCTTTAAGCGCTCTACTTACCAAACAGCTGTTACTAATAATAACTAAAATGTTTTTCTCTTTTGTAGTGTCCATTTTGTGAGAAGGCTTTTTTGAATTCTTCCTTTTTACAAAGTCACATTCAAAGGCGTCATCCAGAAGAATCTCAGATTGGTATGTACTTTGCTATTATCAAAAAAGCGAAGACAAATAGTTTAGAAAAGCGTAAATACAGTGAGCATGTGCACTCCATGATTTTGTGTAACTGGGAAGGGTGATTTTCCCGTTCCAATTTGAGGTGGCACATACCGGTTTGCGTGGATACAAGCAGCGCTGCCTGACCAAATGTATTGGGCAACATCTGTTTCAGTCTCTGGAAGATTCTTCACAAAAACTTGTGTGCCGTATTTACAGTACCTTTTCAAACCAGCCTGTCCGCTGAATACTTCAGTCAGTAGCTGAGTTCAGAGCACAGTTTATCTTCAGGCGTGTGTGTTGTGAAGGTATGGGTAAAACGAACGAGTTGCGCTAAGGAGAATACATTTGGTGACTACATATGAATTGTCAGTCCAGAAAGAATCCAGCTCGCCTGAAATCAGTTTGCATAGCATCAGGCTCTCCTGAACTAAACGGGCTGTCAAACACAGTGAGAAACAGAAACGGTCCAGAATCATCTAACTTCCTGTATCTGTGATGGTCTCGGTTGCTCTACCACTAACTTACGTACTTTTGTTTCTCTTAATTGAAAATGTTGAGGTTGAAAACCGATGCTCTCCGAGTTTGTTTCATTCATCTCTCAAGTCTCTCGTTGCTGTTTGGCTGCATGCTTATGCTTTGTTGCTAAGGACTGACAAGTATGGACAGATGGCAGTGATTAGAAATGAGCAATGATAAAAGGGCATTTGGGAGGAGAAAGAGTGGGAAGAATCTAGCGAGATCTGAACTGTAGCTGGTCAGGCAAGTAAAAGGGCAGGAAGAGGGTCTGAGGAAGTGTTAATATATTGGAAGGGGAAATAAGGTCTTGTGCACTTTACACTTGATAAAAATGAGAGTGGAAGATGCTGCAGAAATAGTTGAACTAGTTATTGTCTAAAGAATTAGTTCATGGAAATACTCCATGCAGTTATTTCTGAAAGAATATTCTGCATTGTGCTCAGATTCCCAGATGATGGGCTAGTAAATGCTTGATAAATTGATAAAACGCTTCAAGATGAAGCTTTTGCATATTTTAACATGTTTTTTTGACAGTGACATTCCCCCTGACTCATTCCAGATCAAGAATGAGTTGTATTCCAAATGGACTCCTTTGAAAAGTTATTTAGAATAAACTAAGCCTAACAGAATTGAAGAATTGAGGCTCCCTATTGTCCTACATCACTCCTTTTTTGAGCCTGTGTTGCTTAGGTTCCTTTGAAATTAGATTATAGAATACTCTTTCTTGTCAATAATTCATAAACAATTTCGCATGTCAGTAATACCGCTGTTGTTGAGTCTTTGAGGAGAAGTTAGCAGTCCAGAGAAGATACGTATTTAAAAGCTTCTTTGGAGAATCGTGGTAGTGGGAGGGGAGCTGGTCGAAGGGAGTCCCACTTCATGAAGATGTTACTGAACTGCTATAGAAACGCACTTGCAGTAGGTGTCACGTTTCCAGTAATGACAGCAACCATTTTTAAAATCTGTGTGTCTCTCAAGCAGAACCGAAGAGGAAAACAAAGGCAGACGAATTGCAGGAGGAGATGGCTAAACTGAAGGAGCAGTTGCAGCTCACCAGGTCCCAGTTAGAGGCTGAACAACAGGCTAACACGGCCAGGTTCTCGAAGGTAAGATGTACGAAGTAATGTGAGCGCCTCCCAAGAATCAGGACTTTGGACTTTTAACCAAAACATGGCTGTCATGTCCTTGTTTTTGGAGGAAAACCTGATCTTCTGTAAAAGATGCATTGTTTCTTTCCCTGAGCACAGCTTCACACTCTCCTTTCTTCAGTTGTCGTGTGACCCTTTTCTCAGGTGCGTTCACCTTCCTGTTTTTTTCCCTTTTTCCAAAAGTACTGACTGACCAAATGAAGAGCGTGGGTCGAGTTTCCCTTAGGAGTGCAAGCACTGTCAGAAGAATGGGCCTTGGCCCTCGGTGCACGTGTGCTAGGTATTCTGCTCATTCCTCCTGTGCCGCCTCACTTTTGAGAGCTGCATCTAGAACATAGTTCTCCTGCCCCTGCAGCTTTGTTTTTCCTGTGAGATGGAACTTGGAGTATTGCCAACAGGGCAGAGTGGATTTTGCTAACAGAGCAGAGCGGCCTGAAATGCAGGCCTTTGAACAAGTTGAGGACTATCCAAAACTGCGTGACTGGGAAATGGAAGGGTAAAAGTAATGCAACAGCTACAGCGGAGCCAATGTCTAGGGGGAAAAAGAATTCTGACTTGACGTCCAAAGTGATGGGTTCTGAGCTGAGGGTTATTACTGAAGGGCAAGGACTTAAGGTTGTGGTACCTAGTTCCAGGGCAACGTCAGCCCGGTGGTTAGCAGCAGCCAGCAAAGAGAATCCAATATGACACATGATTCTGAAAATCCCTGTGCAAGCCACAGCCTAAATACTGTGTGGAGGTCTAGTCCCTTCCTCTCCAAAAGGCTGTGATAGCATTCAAACAGTGATGGAGCTGGGCTGCAGAGGTGATCGGTCTGTCTTTAGAATGCCTGATACGCCAAGAGTTGTCAGTGTGAAAAAGAGACAACAGCTTGGTAGAGATGGAGAGTGAGACGGTGATGTCTGCAAAGTCCTGAGTTAGGGAGAATTACAGATATCAATCATTCCTTCTGTTTTCCAGTTCAGGACTTAGCATCCGTCAAATGCACCTAGCAGGAGCCAGATTCAAACCACAAAAAGTCCTTGGCTCTTCCTGCAGCTTGTGGAGCTCATTTGCAAAAGGTGTTGCAGTTGCTAAAAGCTGAGGCAGCCCCAAGGGCCGACTACAAAAGTGCATGAGGAGAAATGGATTGAAGGTTACTAAGATTACAGAAGTGTATCAGGGTGAGGAATTCCTCCGAGCTGAAAACAACTGGCAGCTTGGAGACCGTTAAGGAGACCGTGTGTGTTTGCTTGCCCTGGTATTATCCTTTCCCACCCCTATGCTTATGGCCTCTGTGAGAAACACGGTGCTGAACTAGGTGGACCTTTGATAGCACCAAGTAAGGTTGTTCACATGTTATTCAATGAAAATTAAGGAACTACCCAAACTTGGGGAAGTGTCCTTGTTTTGCTGGCAAAGTGTCTATTTTAATTCCTCACAATTCTTCAGCAACTGGTGGGTTTGATGTTTTTTTGATGTCAAAATATTGCCCATTGAAAGTGACTGCTTGCCATGCATCGTTTGGGGACTTGAATTAGTATTGCATGTGGGGAAAAAGAACAAATACTGTTTTACAATGATTTCAGGAATGTGAGCAGCAAAAGTCCAAAGAAGAAGAAATTCTACAATCGTTTCATAAATGGAAAGAGGAGGAAAAAGAGAAATGGGCTGGTGAACTAGAAAAAGTGAAAGAGATGTTCATGAAAGAGCTTAAGGAGTTATCTTGCAGAAATTCCACGTTAGAAAAGGTAAGTGATTCAAATTTTCCAACGTTTTAAGGCACAAATCCCTGACACTAGACGGCAGCAAACTTCACATATTTGAAATGTGATGTAGTCATCTTAGAAGTCTTCTTACCAAACTCTAAGAAGAATGATTGGATGATAGCCCTAGTTGTAGCTTTGTCTACTGGTACTTCATTAACATCCCTTCAGTTCTTTTTTTAATAGCATTGTTTTGGATGAATGAATTACACCTTCAGCAGCTATGTTGGTTTTTTCTTACTCCTCCCCCTTTGAATGCCTGTTTAGAGATTAGTAGATACTGTTCTTGTTGCTCTCTATTAGGTATCCTTACGTTAATATTCTCCTAACTGGCGTGGAGGGGACTAGCCTCCGCACGATAGTCCTGACAGCATAAATGCATGTGTTTTCAAGAGATGCTCTGGAAATGCTTTCCAGAGTTTTCTCTCAGAAGAGAGTTGTAAAAGCGTAAGTGGGTCAGAAACCAAATACGCACGGCATTCCCAGAGCAACTTCTGTTTTGTAGCTGCTAGGTCCTGTGTACATTTGCAAGGCGTATTTGTGTTAGATGTATGTATTAATACTGACGAGGAATTTGATAAATGGTGATCTCATGGGAAATGTGAGAAGTATCTGATGAAATCTCTACATAGTTCTGTTGAAAGTAAATTTTGTGTTAAATGACAGCTAACCAAATCTGTCTATGTGTCCTTCATTTCCTTCCCTGCCTCCTTTTAGCAACTGTTAGAATTGCCAAAGTCCAGTCTGCAGCAAAAGTCCAATTTAGGGACGCTGCAAGACAGCGAAGACTTTACAAAGGAGAAACCTCAGAGTCCTCAAGATTCTCCCAATGTGCTTAAACTTCTTGAAAAACAGGTAACACTGTAACTTAATAGATTGCTTTTCACAGACTACTCATGTTCTTTTTTATTTTGGTCCATCTCTCAGTAGGATTTGAAATCCTGAAGTAAAATTCTCATCCCTCTCAATGCCTAAAAGAGCTTTTTTTAAAGATTGACTACTATTTGGTACAATCTCTAGAATGGAAATCAAGGAATTATTTCCCTTCTCTTTTATAAATCAATTAATTTTTCTTTCTTTGTTGAGATCATCTTATTCTTTATGATGCCGTATATCTAGCTTTACCGAGTGTGGTTGCGGTTCAATTCCAGAAGGCTCCACTAAACCCTTTCCGTCTGCTGATCTGTGAGACCACTTATGGACAAATTGGAATTTTCCAAGAAGAAAAAAAAACGTTAGGAAACTTTCTGACAGGATTTGTCAACTTGTGGCTCTTGAGCCCTGTGAAGGACTGGAGCTTGTCAGGTGCAACTTCTGTACCAGGACTCTCTCATCTGAGCAGCACAGATGCTGGTGCAAATCTGTTGGACAATCCAAAGTCCACCTGTAGGAAAGGTTGAGCTGGGAAGGGCCGCTGAGGCCAAGGTCATTGCGTTGCTCTCGGACTCACCTGCATGTCCGGGTTGTTCCTATAAAAAAAAAAAAAAAAAAAAGAGTTGGGAGACCTTTGGAAATACCCACAAACCTTTTCACTCTTTTCTTTTTCTTTCTCTTTTTGTGACCCTTTGAGACAGGCATTGTATATTTCATGGTTCTTGGGATGGGAAGGTCTTGCTGCTCAAAGATGTGGAAAGCTTAGTCGGTTGTACTTTATGGTTTTTTTATTTCATCAAAGAAAATTGAGTTCACTCTCAGTATCATTTATTAATACTGGTTTTTATCATCATTACGCAAAACATATTGTTAATGAGTGCTTGAAATTACATGATTTGGGCAGAAAACCCCTGCTCTTCCTCCTCTTCTTGTTAATACACAGAGGTGTATCAAAATACTTGTGTCTTTCTCACTCACAGTCACTAGATAGAAACCAAGGAGCAAATACGTAGTTTCTAGAGTGACTGGGTAGAAACCCCCACTTGGATGTATGAAATATGCTGATGACTGTTCTGGGTCTTAAATACAGGGTTACTCAAGTTTCATATCATCACTACTCTTTTGAGCATTTATGCTTTATTTAGAAAAATAAAGCTGCATCTCTCAAACTAAATGTTAATGTGTCATTAAGAGGAATTAATATTGACTTCCTCTATGCAGGAAAGTGAGTGGACATCTAGAATACAAGCCCTTCATCGTGACCATGAGGCAGAGAAGTCCCTGGTAAGTGGCCCAGCAAACCGCTTCAACAAAAAAGAGACTTCTTTCTTCTTTTCTTACCCTTTCAGGAGTTCTGGATATGCTATATAGTACATGGGTTGAATTAGAAAGCCTGGATATCAAGAGTTTGTAACAGTGTGTCCTCTCAGATATGTTTATTATCTCTGTATTTCTGTTATGCTAGGATCGTGACGTTTCAGTAAGACCAGGGTTGAAATGGAATTTATCATTTAAGAATCTGACAGACCCCTGAAACTGTCTCTCTCTTGTGAAGAGCTTACAACGAATTCTGAGGGCTCTGTATTATGCAGTGTTTTCTGTGTTATGTGGCGGTGCTGGATAGTTGAGATAGCACTTGCCAACGTGTAGCTTTCAGCTGCCCTGTACCTGCTGCTACCATGGACCTATGCCATATGTCTCAAACCTTTTTTTCTCTTTTCTGTCACTTCTCTGCTGATTTTTCTGTTGTCGCTTTCTAATGCAGAATCTGTTGAGCTTTTCCAGGGAAAACACCATGGCATTTTATTGTGCATCAGTTTATATGTTTTACAATACAAAGCTTTATTCCTCCGAGATTTTTTTATGTCTGCATTTCTTTTTAATCTCTTTCTTGCTTTGTTTCTCTTGCTTCTTTTCCTTTCATTTTCCTTTCACCTGCGTGACCATGTAAGAACTGAGCAGATCATAGTGGTCTGACCAATGCTTCTCCTCCTCTGGCAAGAAAGCAGTGGGGAGGAACCCTGGAGCGTTCCCCAAAAAGGAGGTAGTTAACGATACACCCACGTACAGTGCAAGAATAGAATAAGGGAGGAGGAATGTAAGTATTACTTTTGGGATGGTGCACCTCAAATACTGTTCCCTTTCTTCTACGTTCAGAGCCAAGGTCTTAGCTTTATCGTGCAAATTCACATCTCCTCTCCTTCAAGTATCATTATTGCACACTCTGTAGAAGCAAAACATTTTGAGAGAGGCGTATGCTTTTTCCTGCAATCTTATTGTTAGACAATCTCAGCAATGTGTTTGTACATCCCTTTCTCTGTATGGAGATTTAGGTAGTCTTCCTTGTGTGAAGAAGTAGTGATCCAGACGACTGTTGTGTAATATCTGCAAGTCCCCATGAAATCACCGGAGACGTTAAGCTTTTGCTGAAAACAACATGAACAATAGTTGAGCTTGTTTAACCTTTATAGCATTAAAACGTTTTGTCTAATAGCAATATGGGGTTACTTTTCTTCTGATTGCTTTCTAGCTGCTGTCCCAGATTGAGAAGCTTAAATCATCAGTGAGAAAAGACCTCAATGAAAATAACAGCTTTTACAAGAGAAGGCTGGAAGAATTGGGACAGAGGCTTCAGAAGCAGAATGATCTGATCGTTGCTCAGAAGCAGCAGGTCTGTTTGGTGAAGCATTCTGTGTCCTGGAGAGCACAGAACACAGAGAAACATTTTAGTAGCATTTGGTTTTTGATATGTCTCTGGTTGCATATTTAATATTCCCAATTTATAATGGTATTGCTGTCGTATTTTGGTTACACTTTGGAAATTGTGTTGATAAAGAAGAATAGATCTGGGGAAGAGACACAGAAATGTAAACCAGGAATTAAGATGCAGTTTGGAAGGAAAGGCTTAATAAAGCAAATGTTTTTAATAAGTTCAAGACCAAGTTAAAAGGTGACTAGGTCGCAGTCACCAAAGACCTCTACAGATGGAAAATCTTTGATAGTGAACAGGAACATAAGAAAAAAATTTTTTACAACGAGGGTGGTGAAGCACTGGCACAGGTTGCCCAGAGAGGTGGTGGAAGCCCCATCCCTGGAGGCATTCAAGGTCAGGCTGGATGGGGCTCTGAGCAACCTTATCTAGTTGGAGATGTCCCTGCTCACCGCAGGGGGGTTGGACTAGATGACCTCTAAAGGTCCCTTCCAGCCCAAATGATTCTATGATTCTATGATTTAATCTGCCACAGAATAACCATAATGAGATCTAGTGTTTGAAATGTGAAAATAGATGACTTGTGACAAAAGAAAGTATCACATTTATCACTGTGAGAATAATTAATTAAATTATTACGGTATGAAATTTACCAAGAGCAAGTGCTGGCTTCTCCACCTGGGATGGGGTAATCCTGGTTATACGTCCAAATTGGGGGGCAAGAGGCTTGAGAGCAGCCCCGCAGAAAGAGATCTGGGGGTCTGGGCTGATGGCAAGCTTGAATTAAGCATGAATGAAATAACACATTTGGCAGTAGAACAGAGTTCCACAAAAGTAGTAGTTTTCTCCCCAAGTCATAAACAATAATCTCTGTGATGGAGTAGTACTGAAACGAGGTATTTTGTACTGAATTTTCATTTCTAGATCCTGATCATTTACACTTGTAACTCTGCCTGTATCTGTCTTTTCACGTTTAGATAAAAGAATTGTCCACAGGATCAGTTGCAAGCACCAAACCATGCAATAGTAAGTACAAACTGTAAGAAAAAGCAGATTTTGTTTCTGGTTTTGGTAGCTTGGCTGAACCAAACAATTCGTTAAAAGATCTAGACATCAACTTTGCTAACTCAATACTGAAACCAAATCAGTACTGGCGATTTCTTTGTGTTTCACAAGGTACCTACCTGTTTCCTTGCCATGATTTTCAAAGTTCCTGTTTTGCAGCTCTAAGGACTTCTAATGGACAAAGTTCGTTGCTTGAGTAGTGCAGAGATGTGAAATCTAGCAACTCGAGTTTGTATTATGTAAACAACTTTTGGCTTTGCTTGATGAAGTGTCATTTTTAATTGTGATTTCGTGCTTGACTGTCCTTAGGTTGCAGAACTCACAAAAGGGGAAACGCTGAAAGAATAGGCAAAATGGATTGATTTATCAGTTAAAATCCTTTGAACAACTGTATCTTAAGAACAGCTCTGGTATTTTGAACTGTGCAATACTTTAACATCTCAAGTCCATTACGGATGGCTTAACCTGGTAACGGTGGTTTAGGATGTAGCCCTGCACCACAAACACCCATACAGTTGATGCAGCCCTTGCAGTGACTTGAAATAAGTTTCTTGCAATAAATGATGGCAGCTGAATTAATTCTAATCCCAGTTTGGAAAACACCTTGCTCTGTTAGCAAGGCATTGGCTTGACCTGACTCCCAGAGCAGGGAGTAGGTTAGTTTGGGGAGAGCGTAGTACCAGTACAGCTTTTCAACTGGAACTGCTCATACTCAGCCACACTGAAGCACAGACAAGTGTAAGACCATGGCACGCAAGCGAATTTGCTCCCAGGCCCCCAGCTGATCTGAGGAATGTAGAACTGAAGTGCTAATTCACTCCAAGGCTACACTCTCGACCTGATGGAAATAGGGTTTGCTCTAATTGATAGGAAGTGTGGATGCAGCAGATCCTCCTTGGGGAATACAAGCCCCAATCAGGCTAGACTTGACTGAGGCGCTTTGGGCTGAGGCCTCTTCGCTGGCACACAGAGAGCATACAGACGTGACCAGAGAGATGATCACGTTCCAGTTCAGTGATGGTTTCCTTCCTGATTCTGGAAGTATTAAAAATGTTAAGCATCTACAGAGACGTACTTTTATGTTGTGAAGGACCATTTTTTACCTTGTAAACAGTTTGTTTAATTTTCTCCCCATTAAAGTCAAGAACGATGTAATTTATAAATAGGGTTAAATATGGCTCCATTTAAGAAAGTGTCTGCTCTTGTTTAATACATTTGCATTATTTTTCACTTTTATGCTATTTTAGTGAACACTACTGTGGAGCCTGTTGAAGAATCTAAACCAAGGCTACCAGTGATGCATGGTAAGTTTTTGAATAGGTCCAGATCCAGTATGTTCAAATCTAACGCTCTATCTTCCCAAACGTGGTGCTTGTCAAATCCTAGCTGTAAGAGTAGTTACATTGAAAGAACGTCATTTGAATTGCTTTGCTCTATGGCAGCATTGAGAATTCCTGCAGAGTAATTGTAAAGCTGCACTATTGAAAAGAACTGAAAAGCCAAAGCAAATAATTGGAGACTCTTTCCTAGCATGTGTATAGTATTGAAGCACTTGAAGGTAAATGAAACTAATTGAGGAAATGGAATGATGTTTTCTTGTAGAAAATATGCTTCTCTGTTACATGCATCTGATGGATAGATGTATGCATGTCCTGGAATTGGTATAGGGAAACATGTGGAGATGTTTGTTTATAAGTCTTGAAATACTGTATTCGTCATGTGACTTTGAATGGCAAGGAGGAAAAATACAGAAGAAAGAATCAAACCAGACAGTAATCCAGTCTATATAGTTCCTCCAGAATCTCTCTGTAGTTACGTATAGATCGTTATTTAGTTATTTGAGCTTGTGGCATTGTGATGCTGTTTAGAAGTGGGAGGAACGGATGAACCTTCATTTCCATTGTCTTGTACTTTGTAAAAATAGTTTTCTCTTTTCTCTCAGTATGCAAATTAATGGAGAGTAGTCTTACCATACCAATATTCTGTGATCAATTAATTCTTTATTTTCATTTTAAGTAGGAAGGTAATGAAAAATGAACCTTGAGCGCGTCAGATGTTTAAAAGTTAAAAGCCAGTTTATTTATTTGATTGGTAATACAATAATGGGTTTTTTTATTGTTATTTCTCTTAGTTTTAAAACCTATCAGAGGGAGACCAAATGAAATTTGTCTAAGAAAAATGTACAGGATTTTTCTTTTTCAACAAATTCAAAAAGCTCTGAGAAGGCATATCGGGAGAAGGGTCAGTATACAACAGAAGCTTTCAATAACTTGATGAGGAATGAAAAAGTGTTGATTTCAAAATATTTGTAATGACAGGAATTATTCAAGGAAGGAAAATAATTATTTTTTTTTTTTTTTTTAATTCTGTGGTAACATTATTTGAACATTGCAGAGATTTCTTTCTGACCTGTGCAAGGTTAGTAGTTCATGTCTTGAAGCTGTTTAAGTGAAACTGTATAGATGAAATGTGTGGAAAATGCAGTAATATATTAATATAGATTCTTACTAATAGTATTTTAAATAATCTCATTCTTTTTCATTCCAACCAGCTTCATTTCACCAATACATATAGTGCTGATTCTGGCTAAGAGATCTCGCAGCACATACCTTAGCTATTGCCCTGAATTCAAGAAACGAGTTTTATGAAGAATATTGCTGCTAAGGGCTTACACCCAAAGCTTGTCAAGCGTTGCTTTCTTAGTGCATTTACTTTCATTTCTATTGAGGAGGAAAACAGTTCTGTGAACATTAGTGTTTTCTGTACTCTGACAATTTAAATCAGCTCATTCAGATCATTCCTGTTTTCTTGCTGCTCCAAATATGAAGTTTGTGACACCTTGTGAAGCTTTTCAAGATAGGAAGCGCTGTTCCTGCCATTGATATACAAAAGATTCACTATCAGTTTATTGTGAAACCTCAAAGAAGGTCTTTCCTTCAGATTCCTTTGCTGATGATTATTTTATTTATCTCTGCAGGTCTCTCTGTCTGTCCTCTTTCTTCCCTTCCGTGGTGTTTTTGTTTTTTTTTTTTTTTTAACTTACCCTACCTAATTTCTAGATGTAAAGTTTAGAAGAAGTTACAGCGTCTTTCCCAGAATTTTCAGGGCTCCTCAAGGGGTTGACTTACATACTGAATTAAGACTTCAGGGCTGCATCTCATGCCATTATGAAAATGAAGGCGCTTGCTGGTAACTTCTGTACTTAGATTTCTTTAGCACAGAGCATCTCTGAAATCACAAGAGCTATAGTTTTCCTACCAATCAATTGCCTGCATATCGAGTATCTTCTTTTTTTTTTTTTTTTTTGCCTGCTTGAAAGAAAATTAATTCTGGAAAAAGCTCTCTAATGTGGACTTAAGTACACTTTTCAAAGTTGCTTGGGAGGTTTTGAATCCGAACATTTGTTCTGCATATCTTGGCAGGGTCTGCCAAGGGCTGGTATCACCCAGAGACATCTGGTAATTGCTAAGGCAAGGCTTTGCAGAGATCACTGGGCTTGGGTTAGGGTTCGGATTAGGCTTAAACAGACATTGACTGGAAAGGTGAGTCATGGTCAAGTTAAGAAGGATCAATTAAGCAAGGTAGCAGCGGCAGAGCCTGACTGAATAGGTTGAAGTATGAAGTAAAAGTTTATTTTGTAGCCAAGAAAGGGGTGGAGATGAGAGTTGGGGTTCAAGTTGTGTCACTAAACAAAGCAGAATTGAGGTTGCATCAGATCTGCAAGAGTGCCGTAATCTCCAGTTATACCAGTACTTGGTAGTGCAAAGCAGGTGATCTGCTGGAGCACAGGATGGCTGCTGCCTTGCTGCAGCCTCCTGGGATCCCACGTCCAGTAAGGCAAGGACACAGTCTGGGGGTTCGGCTGGAGCGGGGACTGACAAGTGACTAGGAGCAAGTGATTTATTTCGAGGTGTGCGTCCAAAAAGGAAGGTAAGCAGTCTGTGTACGTTCACCACTCGGGCTAGGATGAAAGCTAGGAGTAAGGTCCTGGCTAGCAAGGTCTGATGTTGAGGCTGTTGTAGAGCAGCATCGGCTAGGCTCAGCTGAACGAGGTTTAGGGCTGATAATTGACAGGAAGGTAACTGGTGGTAGTGAAGTCAGAAGTTGTAGTGATGGCGTGTTGAAGGCTAACATTGGATTGTGGCTTGGTGAGATCTGGGGCAAAAAGGTCAGATGAACTGGAGGAGGTTACAGTAATTCAGAGTAGTTAGGATTTCAGTCTGCATCAGCAGCATTGTTTTAGATTTAAAAGTTAGCAAAAAGGGCTTTGTACAGATTTGAGATTCCTACAAATAAACTTGGTAGTATTTAGATGCCGCTGATTTCAAGGTTGTGCAGTAAGGTAAGAGCTGAGAGGGAATGGCTAGAAGCAGCACATCTCTGGTAAACACAAGGCGAGGACTCCTTAAGGGGGGTGACCTCCACCACACCTGTCTGGAAAGCAGAGGAGTGGTGAACTAAGCTGCTTTTTCTTACATTTGATTCCAATGTGCTGTTTAATAAATATCTCTTAGAATATGTGTACAGTAAAGAGAAAGAAAAGGCTCGCTTACGTTGGAGAAGTTGGTGTTTCCAGGTGTTGCGCTGCCCCGTGTCTTAGCATTTGATCTCCTCTGTCCTCATGCAGTGAACAACAATATTGCATGTAACAGTAGTACATTTTGGTTTTGCTCTTGCAACTATTCCTTTACTGATTTTTAACTTCCTCTGTTTCTAGTCTAGTGAGGAAGAGAAACGCGTACCTTTATGCCAGATCAGCAGACTCTTTTCAGGCCTGAGTTCTGGGGCCTGGGGATTTTCTTGTTCAGTTAAGTTACTTTGCAAGGTCTTGTGCAGAGATGAGTCCCCTCCTTTAAGCAGACTGCATTGGAGTAAAGTACAGGTAAAACAAGTGTAGATGAAATCCAATTACATAGCAGCTGGCTTGCTGTCTAGGAGGTCCAGCCAAGAAAGGACCTTGGAGACCTCAGTGCTCGTGCAGCTAGATTCAGTCTCCCCAGAACATCTCATCTGTCTTCAGGCTCTGTCCTCCAAAACAGGCTGCCTGCAGGCTTTGGGAATGATCCCAAACTGTGCCTGAACACTGTTTTGGAGAATGTTGGTTGGTGCAGGGCAAGAGTGTGCCAGGAGCAATCGTGTTGAGGGTCATGTTCCAGTGCCCAGGAATGCTCTGGCCACTGTTCAAGTTTGCAGCCTTAGAGACTGAAAGATCAGAAGCCTCTTTGTCTCTCCAAGTTTGGCTTTTAAGCGTTTCCATCAAATATGTTGACATTTATATCTTGTTAGGATCTTGCAATGGTGTAAGAAGCATTTTTTGAGAACTTTTTCTTTAGTGCAAGTTCAGTGGGAGCAAATCTGAAGTGTGGTAAGCTGTTTGGAAAAGCAGGGGAGAGGGTGAGTAGAACTGCAGATATGGAAAGCCTGGAGAGAGCAGCTGCCATACCCAAGCATTGACACCACCAGTTTTAGTCCCCTTCACATGGGGAATATTGGAGATGTGACAGTAAGTGGCACTTAGCTCCAAGTGCTCGTTTCATTGTGATCACCCATCGCAGTGCATCCCTGTTTGTAGGTAACTGTGCGAGAAGGGCTGAAGAGCAGGCATCTTTATTGCAGCGTCACTTCCTCCCCTTCTACCCATATGCTCTGACAACCATTTCTAGTGCCAAAAGTTTCTTGTGAAGGCTGGGGCAAACGTCTGTTGGCCCAAACTATGGGCCAAGAAATGCTTTTCTCCTGTACTGCCAGTAATGGAATGCTGAAAGTATAGTTTGCACATCTCTGGTTTTATCAGAAACCCTAGGAGAATCTCAAGTTCTAGTTTTCATTGAAATCAATTAATTGATGGAAGGTGAACACTAACATTTTTTAAAACCTGAATTTTTATTAGTCTACATAAAGCGTTTTTATGCCTCTCATACCTGAAGTCCCAAAAGTTGTAAATCAACTGTTCTCTGGCTTCATTTCTATAAAGGAAATGGTACCTGACAACCTACAGAATGATAATTTCAATGTGTTTAGGAAGCTGTTTTCAGCAGAGGGCATTTCAAGATTTCTTTAAAGTGTATGCTAATACTGAATCTCACTGTATTGGAGTGATTGAAGAATTTTTATAGTAGTTTTACTGGGATTTATCTCAGATATATATAAAAAATTTCTCTATGCCTTGCACATCTGGACTCAGTACTTACTCATTCTCCGGCATAATAAGTTAACATATATTTTCGATATATTTTTGAGGATTTCTATGTCTGTCCATTTCATTTGCCTTTTATAAACTTTTAGTATCAGATTGCACAGAAACAATATTTTAAAATAAGAAGTATTTTAAATTTAAAATTTATGAGAAATGGATAACAGTTTTCATTTACTTAATCCAAGGTGGCCTTGTCATGGTAGATGCCTAAAAACGTCCCACCTGGCTTTTGGGTGCCATTCCAGAAGGGCACGGGTTTTTCTCAAGTTGTGTGACGTTATCAGCCAGCCCTGTGCTGATGGCTTCAAGCTCTGATGTAGCTGAGATGGCATCAGACACCCATGTTTGGGCAACTGGATCGCTCCTCAAGTGACCATTGTCTTAGGGTCTGCTCTACAAAAATGTACCACCGAGGCAGTCCAGAGTCACCTTGCATTGGGTTTGTGATTGTTAAGCAGGTTGTCAGCAATCAGGAAAGTTGACATGAGTGTGTTTCGTTTTGTTTTGTTTTGTTTTGTTTTTTAACTGTCCCACTCTGGACCTTGACCACCTTCCGTCCTGTTTGTCTGGTGTTCCTGTTCTTCCGCGTTGTTAGAGCGGGCACCCTTGGTGCGTGTGTTGGAGCCCATAGAGGAGGTGTCAGAAGAGGAGAAAGGTAATGGTTGATGGAGTTTGAAATAGAGTGGCATGTGTTTCTTGAAAAAAAAAAAAGTAACTGTTATTTGGCACCTACAGTTTTTTTCATTGTATTTCAGTAGGCTTATGTGATTTGGGTGGGAGCGTTCCTTGTTTGGGTCAGTCTCCTGTTTGCTCTTGGTGCTTGTCAATATTACGATGCCGTTATCCAAGTTCAATGTTTTTCTGAAAATCTGGCTAACTCTTTAAAGCAGGCGTATTCCGTATGTCTGAAGGCACTTGAGCTAAGCAGAGCAAACATGTTTGGTGGGGAATAGCCCTTACTAGGAAACTTTTGGTGCTGACGCTATTGCAATGTGCGCTCCCTTCTTTTTCAAACTCCGTGTAAGAGGATAAAGATTTCATACAGAAGAAGGAAGTTTGTGGTGGAGGTTGAAGCTGCCTACTTTCGTAAAGGCATTAAAGATCCTTTTGCAAGTAATCAAGTTACACCTACCTCTAAGCAGCCACAGCTCCAGCCAGGGTTGTGCAATTCTGGATGAAATTCCGTAGCCCAGTGTTGGCAGCTGTTCTTCTACCTCATCTGAGGAAAACTTGGAGAAGGCCACAATTACAGTGACAGAACGGAAAGCATTGGTTCGTCCTTCATGGTGTTCTTCTGAAGAAGGGTAACAGTACTTTAGATGAAACACCAAATAACTGAATAACATCATAATCTGTACTGTGTGCAAAAATCAAATCAGTCTTGAACCTTATAGCCAATGGGTTTAAATTTTGAAGGAATGATGCTGTTTTGAAAACACACTTGTCATCTGAATACATCTGTGCGTAAGTGAGAGGTTTCCCCAGGGAAAATCCAGTGACTTCGAACGATCTGAAATAAAGGCTGCTGGCATTTTTGCCGTTCTTTCTGCTATTTCTCTTGCTTGCCATCTTCTCTCTTGATGGATTATCTTTGATTCTTCTGCTGTGCCTAAAGGCATGGCCTGCAGTACAAAAGAGAGAAAGAAAGAATGCAGTCAGAAAAGATAGGCCGAGATTTTTGGGGGTTTGGTGACAGCCATTTGTAAGGGAGAGTGTGAAAATTCTTGACTTGGCACATTATTTCACAGGATTATCTAGGAGCAGAGACAGTGGACCAGACTTCAGGTCCCTTGTCTCCAAAGTTGTTAAACCTAGTATTTAGGGGTTTTTTAAAACCCCAAAATGACTAAGAAAAGATCCCTAGATAGTTGGCTCCAGCAAAGAGGATTTGGCTTGAGTTAATTAGCAAGAATTAATATCGTCATCAATTAGGATAATGCCGGATAGTCTTATTCCCTGTATCAGTATGTAGTAATTAGGACTTTTAAAATTATTTTAGGTGGATCTATTTTATTGTAAGGATTAACATCTGAAAGGGACAGGATTTTCAGCAGACTCCTTGGAGCCTTCTGCTTTAAAATGTCTCCTGCCTGGCTTTCCGGGAGGATTTCATACTGCGTAATGCACCTTTTCCTAACTGGGAATAGTCTGATAGCCCAGTGTTTCCTCACCGACCAGTAGTTTGCCTCTCCTAGGACTTGACTCTCCAGCCAAATCACTTAATCCCACCTCTGTCAGGGACTGAGTTGTCCACACCATTCCCACAGCCAGATGACATTTCAGCCAGATTCTGTCCTTTTCAACACAGGTCTATCCGTATGGTAGCTGGACTGTTTGTTCAGTTTTCATTAGCTATAGTTCTTTCCAGGATCTATCAGAAGCCACTTCCTCAAAACAACTGAAATATCGTTGTGTATCTTGAGGCTTTTTTGGGTCTTCTTCAGGGTGCTTATCTTTCCCTCAAAGAAATAGGAAAAGTAAATGGAACTGCTTTTGAAGCAGTCATTGTTTAAAAATAGGAAAAGTGGCATGTTTGTTTTGAAAGAAAACCTTTGAAAGTCACAATATGGAATTATTCCTTCTCTTACATGCTTTGTGCGCTGGCAGATTGTTCTGCTGCCCTGTAAGGCGTACTGGAAAGAGACAAACTGCCCAGGATTTACCTTTTATTTCAGCGAGTGAAGCTGGGAGTGTGGTTTACAGTGTTCTTTCCTGGGATGTTGTATACCCCTCTGTGTATGCTTTGCCAGCTTTGCTGAGCACTGCCAGAGAGAAACAGCTCCCGTGGTCCCACAAATGGTTGGTTCACTTGGTATAAGTGGTATTCAGTAAAATTTTGTCTTGCCAGAGACCCTTTATAGGCAGGTTCCAACTGGTACGTTTTGCTTCTCTACTCCCCTGTATGACCCTGTAATACTTTGGCCTAACTTAAATGTCAGTCTTTCATTTAGATGGCAGAATCTGTCTAGATGATTCTTTATTTCTTGCTTAAGAGTTCAACTCATTACTGACAAAGCAAGTTTTTAGAGATAGAAACTTCTTTGTCTGCTTTTAAGTATGTATGATGTCATGGACCTGCATGGAAGAAAACACGACACTGAACTTTGTCCTTGACAGAGTTTCAAAGAGAAGTATTATCCGTTGTGTATTTTCTGTGAGATGATCTGCCTCAGACTATTGGTAAAGACAAAACTTTTGAAAGTGTTACAACTTTTTAAGATTTGATTTCAGTAGGTGTTTTTTCTCGGAGAACATTACGTTGTTTGAAGCTTTTCTTGAGAACAAGTTTGTCATATTCCTGTTCTAATTCCTGCTAGAGTTCAGCTTTGATTTGAAATAACACTTTTAGAGAACTTAATTATCAGAAGATAGTCTTTCTTTATCAGAAGTTTCCAAGTACAGTTCTAAAAGTAAAGATCTTTGTGCTAAATATTCAGGCATGTATCTTTACAGTGATTCTGTAACAAGAAAAATAAAAGATACTTGTGATGATGAGTATGAGGTGCTGAGGTACAGATTCCAAGTGGGCTGACTTTTGTAAGCTAGCCCAAGATTTTAAAAAGAATCCAACTCCATGTAGACAAAAAGTGTGCACCTGTATGTCCATGGTGTTTCTAAAAATGCATGCTTCGGTGCAGTTTTTAATTGTCTCATGTCCTGTGGATTTTTCAAATGTGTCTTAAATGCATTTTTCCATTCTTATTTCAGAAATTGAGAAAAGTCATCATAAAAGAGGCAGACATAAACACCTTTTAAGAAATGCTTTGAAGACTGAGCCTTCTTTAATTAAAGAATTACGAGGTGTTTTGGAGCAAGCCCTGGAGGAGAAGCTGGAATCCTTGGGAATTAAAGCAGTAAGATTATTTTGAGTTGTGTAAAAGAGGGGTAATCTTTGTCCCGCTTTTTCGCTCTTCTCCTTTACTCTTGTACCACAACCTTCAACCTAAAAAATCCAGAGCTAAATTCCCACATGTTACAAAGAAGTGTAATTCATTAAGCTGAGAGGATGGCTATCAAATTACAGCTGTGGAGGGTATGGCTACACCTGTGAGCGGTGTTACCAACTTATGTGATTTTTCTACAAGCTTTGTGGTATTGAAGTTTAAAAGACAGTCTATGTTTGTAGGATATAAATCCCAGAAAGAATAGCCCCTGTGCTTCCAATACAATTTGTTTCCTTAGGGTGTTCGCGGTATCCCAAATGATCGCTTAAATGAAATTTTGCGTGCTGTTGAATCTGCAAGAGAACGCAAGCAGAAGGAAGAGCCTGACATTCAACGAATTCGAGAGCATCTTGAACGCCAACTTAGCGTTCGGATTGAACAGAAATTATCATCTTGTAATAGACCTGTTTCCTGTCCTCAGCTTCCTTCAGAAGGTTAAAAAGTTATTTGTTTGGGTTTTTTCATTCTGTTACATTTTAAAACGTCTGTTTAAGGTTTTATTTCACAATATTTCTGTATAGCTGCTTCCATAATTTTTCATAGAAATGTTCTGTATAGTTACGGCCAGCTAAACAGTTTCCTTGAAAGGGTTCTTGACATTGTGTTGAACTGCAGCCATCTTAACTCCTGTGTAGGCAAGATACATGGTAACTCTGAACTGCTTTGAAGTGAAAAATTACTTTTTTTTCCTTCAGTTTTGTAAAACTCTACTCTGCAGCAGAGACGTCTTTAATTTAGAAATTAAACAGAAAAGATACCAAGCATGGTTTCTAATAATGAGATCGATAACTTCTCTTGTAGATAAACAGAAGTTCAATCCATTGGGAATTTCCTCCTCTGCCACACCGCGAAAACCAGTGAAACGGTCTTCAGTAGCTGTCTGCCCAGCTGAGCAAAGAACAGCCATCGCTGAGAAAGCATCTACACCAAAGTAAGAGATGCTGTAAAGTAAGAGTACTCCTAGGTCAGGTGACAGTCCAGTGGGTTTGGGTGTCTGTGACTGATGTGAACATTTCCTGCTAATATTGTAAGAACTGAGCAAAGAATTCACATTACCTCTGTATAAACTTTATGCTTACTTAGTTGACTGTCAGTCTTGAAATAACTTGTCTTGTTATTTTTAGATCCAGGAAGCTTTTTGGAAATGGAGTTTCCAGAAAGACATCTAGCATCGCGTATGTTTTATTCCCTTGTATTTTTGAAGAAAACATTTTTGGTGACTGAATATTCACATGCTTGCCACACAAAAGCTATCATTAAGCTACAAATTAGAAACACTTTCTGGACTACATATTTCATGTGTTGTTTTAAAGCGTTACTCCATTTGAGTGTGTTCTCCCTGAAAAAGGGCACATTCTCCTTTCAGCAGAAATATTCTTTGTTGTGAGTTAGAGAGGGACATTCAGTAAAATCGGGTGGTATCACTTCCTTTAGTTTTGTTCTCAGATGCCTTTTTATGACCTGGTTAAAAGCATTTAAAGACTTTGGTGACCTGATCTTTTCAGTTTATTGATATTTTCTTACTATGACAAAAATTAAACACAGTATTCCAGATTCCACTCACATCAGGTACATGGCTTTGTAATTTCCTTCACTGAAAAACTCCTCAATTATTTTCATCTAACAGGATGTCAGAAAAGACTTTCTGTGGTGCAGATTCCTTGACCCTGAACTTTGCTGTCCCTGCTGATCCATGAAAGCCTCTCTTTCTTTGCTTGGCAAGACGTGTTACGTATTGGTTTGTTGTTTTGTAAAGATAGTTGCAGAGATGGTAATAGTGATGGCTCTAGGAGAGATCATTTTGTGATAACTTTCTGAGTTTACTTAGCAGCATGATTTCTTTTAAATAGTTTTATGGATAATTAGAATTGATGGGAGCTCCCGTTTTGTGCACCTTAGAAAAATGTACATGTTATTGGAAAGGAAAATACAAGGAAGCTTAAATATGTATAGAGCAATGCAGACACTGAAACGCAGTAAGTCCTCGGGTTGTTTGTTTTTTTGCTTAGAACTCCACCATTCAGTTCAGAGGAAGAACTAGATGAAGATGATATGAAACAGTCTTCCAGATCACCAGAATTATTGCAAAAGCAGGCAAAAACATCAAACAGCAAAGTCAGTGCTTTTCAGAAGGCTTCTGCCAAAAGCGATACGGATGGGACAGAGGAAAGTGAAACTGAAGAAGCTGGAATACCTCCCGAAACTTCAAAAGGTTGGGTTTTTTTTTACTACTTTTGTATGTGCACGTTGTAAGAACTCTGCATGATTTTGCATTTCCTGGTAATATTTCTGTGTTAGAAAACATAACGAAGGCAGAATATCTAGTCTGTGTATATATATTTGTGTGCACTTTATGGTTTTGCTCCTGTGTTTCTATTCATATAGTATTTAGAGATGTCAGTTCAAATCTGATGTGTATCATGCTGTTGTATATAAATGCAGAAAAAGGGACAATTTCTGCCTCAGAGAGACTTCTGTTATTTATTTGTACCTTGTGGAAGATTTCTAGAGTGTTTACAGTGAAGCCCCTTACCTGTGGATAGAAACTGTCAATATAATTTTTTTTATGAACTTTAGGAGCAATTATTCAAAAACTGACTGAACAAGTTGGGAAGAGTCTTTCCAACCACGGAAATAAGAACAAACCAGCAGGAGGGATTAATGTTGCGCAGCCATTTCTGAAGAAAGAGGTGAAAGAACTGAAGGTATCACTTTTAATAGTCGTTATTATTTCATTAAGTAATTGAACTCTCTCTCTCTCTCTGTTACTTTTTCCCGAGCTGAAACCATCTTGATGCGGTGAACAACTTAATTCTCAAAGACAGTTTTGGAATTACAGCTAAGTAGTCTTTTGGGGGACATCTGCACTGGTGTATAGAGAAGAGCTAGCAAGTGAGCTGTGGCACGTGACCTCTTCATCCACACTGCTCATTAGCTTACCCCGTGACTGTTTTGGATCACTACAGCTAGCCCAGAGTTTGGGCACAAGTGGTATAATTTCGATCTCCTATTCTATCAGCATAGAGAGCGCCCTTCTCTACTTGCTTTCCCAGTATCTTGTTTTGGTGAAGGAAAAAATGAATTTGCTTAGCTAATATTTTAAAATCTTTTTATTTCTAGAGCTTTACCTGATATGGAACTTTAACGTACATTTTCATGAGGGGGCACATTCCATTTCTGAGTATGCTCTTTGTTCTGCTGCATCTATTTACAACCCTATACTGTTTTCCGACGACATCAGATCTATCACTGATCGCTGTCAATTGAGTCTGGCCTGTGTTGACAATCAGAGTACTAACACAACTTCTCTTTTACCCCTCGGGCTGCTGAGGTCCCAGCCTCCCCCTCCGTTTAGAGTTTTATAATTGGTAAGCCACTTTGATGCAAATTGACCTTTGCCTGAACTATTTTTAAAAGGAACAGAAGTAACTCCAAATTGGAAGTCAAGAACAGATAGTGCTTTTTCTTTCAGTTTTAGTAGTTGTTATTACATTGAAATAGACAGCCAGCTACTAGTTCTAGCATTCAAGAAAATATTTTACTAAACCAAGAAATAATAATTACTGAGACTCCTGTTATGCAGAATAAAACAGATACCTTAGGGCTTCCTAGGTTTGAGGAAACTCTTCCTCTAGCATTTCTCAGTACATGTGACTTGACTTTCCCATTACCACGCCATCCAAATGCAGATCATTTAAAACAGCAAAATGTTGAATCCTGGTATGTTGATAATACAGCACACTGAGCAGATCTGTCAGGTTTTGAAAAACAGTTTGCCATGTTAAAGTGGAATTATGTTGCAAGATAGAGCGTTACTGCAGTCTCTTCCCTTCTTTCGAGACACACGACACCTTCATATTTCTTGATTTTTCTCTAGTATGTACATACCTGACATTGTTTTCCTAACAGCATCTGACTCTTTCTTCTGGGCAATAGAAGCACCTTCTAGATCTTACTGTAATATTGAGAGACTCCAGTGACAGGAGGTTTTAGCTTTGGGAGAAACCATCTTTTGCTTTCCACGGTTGAGCTCTCTCTCCGATAATGGCTCGATTCCATTGAACCACATCTGATTGACACATAGGGAAATGCTGTAGCTCTGCTTTCAAAAGCTGAATGAAGATATTTAGTTCTCAGGTAGATGAAGTAGGAAAGACCATGGACTCACTGCCTTCAGGTTCATCTGTTTGACTTGACTCTCATTTTGTGAACTCATTATGCAAATCCACCCGTTAAAAATATGCTTGTCCATGCTGACAGTGAGTCTTAAGATGAGTACCTATTTTAACTTGGAGCACCATCTGGTGGGTTTAACTTCCATTATTTGATTTTCTCTTGAAATAAATCGGTTTTAAATTGAAAAGGCCTTTATTGCACTACTAAATATTTCTAGTGTGAATGCAGAATGTTTTATATAGCGAACTGCCAACTTGCAGGATAACGTCATGTCTTTATTTTCATGTAAGTAATATACATTCTAATGCTTAAAGGACTTTCCATCTCATTGGAATAGCTAATATCCCAGAAAACACGGTCTTTCTTGAAGTTTGACACGTAACACCTGGAAACGGCTTCCTGCCAGTTCTAGAACTGGGAGAAGTTTTAACTTTTGCAGTTCCTGACTTAAAAAAAACCCCCACTTTTGGCTTTGGAAATATAAGAGTGAATTAATTTAAATTAGGGAATCAAATTAGGTGGATTTTAAAACTGTGGTGATAGATGTCATAAAGGCCACGTGCCAGTGCATTTTTCTCTAGCATGTTCACATCGTTGAAGGTATGGAAGATCTTGGCACAACTTGAACAGACAGAGGAAAAATGCCTGTTTTTTCTTCTCCCTGTTAGTTGATGGACGTTGATGAAGATGATTGGGATCTATCATCATTAGAAGAAGAGTTGTTAGGGATGAAAGATGATAGAGGTCAGAAGGCGTTGACAGTTCAGAAAAAGGAGTCAGATGCTGCATCTGTGGTAAACGCATGGGCTCTGCCGAAGACAGGTGCACCAAAGGAGGAAGGTAACATATTCCTACTTGTTCATTAGAAGCCTTAAGCGACTGACGCTCCTAGAGCAGAACGCAAGGTTAGTGTATTACACATTGTAATTCATAGATGGTATTGTGTCAGGAAGGAACAAGCACAAAAAACTGTGTGCTTGGTTTTCTGTCATATAAATATCAGATATGATATTGATGATACATACTTGCACGTAAACAACACGCACGCATAAATATACAGAGATGCCAAGAAGTTTAAATTGGAGACTTTAAACCATAGAGTACTAACAGGCTTCAATCTCGTCTTAAAAAGTAATCATCCAGGATTATTTTCTTTTTTCCCCGAATTTGAGGGAGGAGGGAAACTTTCTTCCTTTGTCTTGAGAATCACAGTAACATTTCAGGTTTGTTACCAAAGTGACCTACCAGGCTGAGATAAATATTTTAACTTCTGGCAAAGTAGTAGCCTCAGTCTGAGATAGAACTTAGAGAGTAGTTTCTAGCCCTGACATTTCAAGAGACGTAAAGGTTAAAGCAGTGTCAGTTCTATAAAGATGCTTCAGGTTATTTTTAAAGGGAAAGGACTGTTGACACTGACTGTTTGTCCTGTGCGTTGCAGTCTGTGACAGAAGCAGCCTTCATATTATCAACGCTTGTCATTTCCTCACTGGTTGAAGTTCTGGTCGTCCTGAAGTCCACAGGTGTTTGCTCACATAGCATGTGATGTGATCTCATAGACAAATACCAAGTAAAACCACCCCCAAAATAGCCTTAATAATTGTTCACGCTTTTTTGTTATTTTAACAGGCCTTCCTGAAGCTGATAATACCAGCACGTTAAAAAGCAGCTTAGTCACTGTAACAGATTGGAGCGATTATTCAGATCTCTAATGATTGCATTCCTGATGGGAGGATCTGCTTTTGGGTTCTGTAGGGTTTGAAAATGTAGTTGAAAACATCAAGTGTTTCCTATTCATATCTCTTTTCGGTCATGTAATACCAAGGAATACTGTTTACAGAGCTCTCCTGTCTTTCAGTCCTGAATTTGAAACAAGAATATTCATCTGTGCATTACTGGCCATGTCTCTTTGGAAATTGAGAGTTAATTCTTCTTTCTTGTGAATCCGGTGGTGAAAGTCTCTTTGATTTCACTGAGGTGAAGATTTTGTCTCTAATATTTACCTTAAAGACTGAAACTGGTCTTGCAAGAAAGCCTGTTAAACAATGAACAGAATTGACCGCAGAGTGTCACTTTATAAAAGTTTTAAATGCCAATTTTCTTGTATTTTGTCATAAGCTTTACATAAAATTGTGAACATTTTAAAGAAAATATTTCCATGTATTAAAATACTACGTTTCTACCATGGTTTACAATAAAGACCAAATGAGAAAAAGGCCTCGGCTATAAAACTATTTATTATTAAATGCCTCCTATTTTGGGAAGTTATTTTTATTTTTTTTTTTTAATATTAGAGTTGAGTTTTAGTTAACATAAAAGCCCAAAAATTGGCAGAAAAAATGAAAAGATCAAGCTATGGTGAGGAAAGCACTGACCTGCCACTGCAGAAGTACTTTCATATTTCTGTTTTCTCCGTATTGGCTGCCTTCTTAAAAAAACACACTAGTGTTTTGACTTAAATGAAATACAAAAATGAAGGCAAATAAAAAGAACCTTGAATGGCTCTGTAGTTCTGATGTATTTAGATGGTAACAGATACAAACCCTTTTCTGTCACACTGTGCCATTATTAAATAGTACTATCCATTTTTTATATTTACACCTTTGTCCCAAAATAACCAATGTACGGAAACTCCAAGGGTCCATCAGTTCAGACCTCAAGACAGATCTGAGTTTGTGTCTGCTTTCAGGGTCTCAGTCTAGAAAGCATTTTGTGGTTATTGATAATCTCTGATCTCATTTATTGACTCGTCATACAAATACTCCCTCAAAAGCCATCACATTGCTTATGGACAGGTCCAAGAAAAAAAAAAAAAAAATCCTGGCTGACTGTTTGAACTGTTGTAACTAATTCAGGTTAATTCAAGAGTGCTGTGAAGTATTGCCGGCTGTTCTTGGGTCGGCCCTTCAGGAGTGTCCTTGGCAGAGCAGGCCAGCTGCTCTCACCTGAGGGTTTTCCTTCCCTTTATAACCCAGTGACTCGGAGTTGTTCTGGAGCCGAAGGTGTCCCAGCCCCCTGCCCAGCGGGAGGGCATGAACCCAACCCCTGGAAGGGACTTGTCACCCCAGGGCCGAGCACTGAGGCGGGGTGGGAGCCCCGGGGCACAAAGCAAATGCAGAATGAAGGACCTGTCTCCGCACCTTGTCTTGCCCACCACAAAACTCCCCACGGGCTGCAGCCTCGCTCAACTTTTTTTGCTCTCCCTGCCAGGCACAGGAAAGCTCACGATAGCACAGGTGCTCCTCTTCTGCAGGCGTCCTTCTTGGGCCGTGCAAGACCCTCCCTCGGGACTGGGTTTGTAACAACCGGCCCTGACTTCTTAGTACCTGCTCCTGCCTCTGCAAATCCCATACTTCTGTCCACTTCACCCACTCTCGCCTTACTCCTACGGCACCGAATTGACCGAGTTGCACCTTCTGCCCTGGCAATGTGACAAGGAGGTAGGAGCCTGCCGATTCCCCCCGACTGCCGTCGTCTGGCGCTGCACTGGATGTGCACTGCTGCTCAGGGATGAGACATTTTACAGATTAACCTGCACAGAGTACGGACTCAGTGCTCTTAAGGGTCTTTTCCAACCTCTATGATTCTATGGATGGTTTGTCGCATACTGAACCTGTTCCAGAAGTGGTTGCAATGATGCGCTGCAGGCAATACGATGCGTGTGATGCCATTCCCGTAAGCAATTGACATACCGAATTGGTAAATACCTCATTTATTTATTTTTTTTTCACGAAAGCACTATCAGCTCATGATTTGCAGGTATAAACTTTACAATACCAACCTTAAAATATTCTATAATAAAATTTACATCAATATGTAAAAAGCTGCAAGTTAATGTTTTAAAAAGTCATTGTCTTGGTGGTAAGTACATGGGGTTGGGAGTGGGGGAGAAATCACTCTGAATGAAACGTACAAACTGATTTTTAAAATGCTTTGAATCTTCCACCAGTGCAATTAAACGTAAGCGTTCTTGTCGAAGTACTTTGGTGGGGTTTTGTCTGGGACACTGTTGTGGACCTTTGTACGAGAAGACATCATAGATGCGGCTCCATTATATGCAAACCCCCTCCTGAAAAGAGAAGAGAATCGCCATTGACAGCTCATCCCACAGACAGGTAACATCTCTGCATCCAAGCATTACAGTAATGTAAAACTCCAAGAAATGTATAGGAACGTACCTATACATTTCAGGGGAGGGGGCAGGGGAGCACCTTCCTTCCCTGTGTGATCTCACTCTGGTTTGACATCCCCCTCCAGCATCTCTCTTTGCAATTCACTTTTCTGTAAACGTGTATCCCTCGTTCACAGCCAAGTAAATTAGGGCCTGATCATGAAATACTTAGGTGGTGGCAGATCCTAGGTGAATGGTTCCTCCCTCCAGCTGTCCCCCTTCATTATCACCCCTCTTCTGCTGCTGGAGGTCCCACTGCCACCACCGCTGTCCTTTCACCCCTCGCTTTTGATCTGATGAGTTGGGATTAAAGAAACTTGTCTGTCCACACCTGTAAAGTGACCTGAGCACTTTTCCTACATCAGTGAAAGCATTTTTTTTCCAGCTGCAGTAAATTTGTGAAGTACATGTAACACAAGTATTTGTTCTGAGTCAATAGCTTTTCTTATTTACATGAATGACGGACAGAGTGTTATCCTTAAATCCCATTATTTTCTTTCATCCCATTATTTTCTTTCATCCACACAATCTTTTCCTGAACCCCACTACGAAGTCTTTTGGAAAAGTAATCAAACCCCATACGTCTAGCGGGTACAAATGCGCTAGTATTGATTTCTTTCAGTAAGTGCAACTTGTGTTTTACCTTGGAGAATTATTGTTTTCAGCTATTGAGAAGCAGAATATGCTGCCGCCAATTATGCAGAGTGAAGCTCCAGCCCATCCAATGAACAAAGCTGCTCCTAATTCATACCTGCAGGAAGTTAAGAAATGGGTTTAACAAAAGAGAGCATGGATTTAACAGGTTTTTTCAGAACAATAAAAGAACTACATTCTGTGTTTTCCTGAATAACTTTCAATTGACATACACACTATTCATCGCAAAAATCAGCAGCTCTGCCATTCACCCACGTTCTTTTCATTATTTCCCTCTTACTCAGGAGGCAAACGCTGTCCCTGCGGTGCCCTTGGGCAATGTTTATCTCCCCGCACAGCCAGCTGGGTGCCTGGCTTTTCCACATCTCCTCCTGGATTGCTTGGCTGCGGGGTTACACGGTTCTTTGGCCCCTTTACAGTGCACCGTGCCCATCCCCTTGGACCCTTCCCAGTTTGTTCCCCTTTGCTCCCAAACTGGACTGGCGCTTTTGCTGAGCCGGCGACGAGAGCTGCTGCCTACAACTCTCCTTAACTCTCCCCTTCGGCTCTCAGGATTTCCCTCCCTCCCTGTCCACACTCCAGCCTGCTTAAAAGGTGAGGGTTTTGTACATACATATAATACTCACTCGCGCGCAATATATGCATATACATGTACAGATGTAGCTGATACGTGCATGTGCACGCACAGATCTGTACATACGTGCACACATATGCAGCTGTCCATGTGTGTGCACAGGCACACATGGATGTGCCGGCAACTTTCTGCTTCTCCGGTCCCTGTGGCTGGATTCCGGCTGGAAGAGCCCACTCCCCTCCGAGCCCTTGGGCACAGCTCCAGGTCCCCAGCAACGGTCCCCTCTGCCACCCAGGGCACCCACCATTTGTTCGGAGCTAGAAACTGCTCCGTTTAACTCCGAGAGGAGATGGTGGTGCTTTAGGAGCGTTATCACACAAGGGGAGGTCCAAGTTTCTAAAGCAACAGTAGAAAATGAAGGAAAAGGGCATGGGGAAGAAATTCTTTTCCTCCCTCTGCTCGCGCTCAGTGCCCATAACCGGAGCTCCGGAGCTTCAAGACACGCAGCAAGCCACAGCTGCCGCTTGTCTGCTCCGTTCCCCGGCTCTCTGCCCGAGGTACCGCTCTTTAAAACACTTTCCGGATGACCTGCGTTAGACCACAGGCCCATCACTCTCCAGTGTCTCATACTCCTGCGTGTCTTCTTGCTCCTTCTCCGCTCCAGTTCCTCCTTGAGGAAACCTTGATCTCCTCCTGACTCCATCCAGCTGCAGTTACCGGTCAAGTGGCTGTGCTGGTCAAGTCTTTGGTATAAAGTTTGTTTGTTTATTTTAAGTGCTGGTGAGGCAGCCGAATGAAAAGCCTCTGCTTGACAGCCTGCCTGTGCAACTGAAAGACTGGGCAGTTGCACACTTTTTGGCTAGTTCTGAACATTTCCATGGGAACAGATCCTAATTTCACCTTAGCTGCTGAAATCTATAACTGAAAACACCTGGAAGCTGTTGTACAAAACTTGTGTCTTTACAAAGATGATACTGTGGAAACGCTCAAAAATTGCTTGTGAGCCCAGACACCAAGAAAATGAGATAGCAACTTCTGTAATAGGTCACAAGAGGGTGAACACTGGCTGGAGAACATAAAAAAAAAAAAAAAACAAACCACCAAACCCCCAAACCCCCACTTTTCCATGTTTTCTTGAGATTCTAACCAGAGGTAAAGCACAGACTTTTTTAAAGTCACACAGGGAGAAAAAGCTACACTTTAGGTATCAGTGCTAGATGCTATGGACACCCAGGCTCAAGTTATTTGTAACTTGGGGACTTACTGCCAAAAAGCGATGGAGATGTTGGAGCTCAGAGGCAGGACACTTTGTGAGGGCTTGCACCTGACTCCTCATGGTCCCGCTAGTGCTCTAACTTCCAGCCGCCTTTTTCATTTTCCATTCACCTCAGCTAAGCAGAGTTTTTATTTATTGTCCCTTGCTAAAAAAGGATCAGATTCCCCTACATGTTCTCCATACCCAGTGTGGGACTTAGGCACCCAACCCCCAAATTAAACTGCTGGAAACCAGAGCTCAGCTGCTTTTCACCCTGGAAAACTCTGCACCCAGCCCTGTTTGACATCAAAATCTGCCATACCTGTAAAGCTTTAATTCTAACTATGCTCACATTTCCAACCACGCGCTACGGTTTGCACAAGACGTGAGCAGATTTCTCTCTGTTCAAGGACTGGGGGTTCTCTGATGAGCAGCAGACACCTACATCAGAGCTCATCACCTAGGATCCCGTTAGAGTCAACACACCAGAAATACACACAAAGTATGCGTCTTAAACACCCTCAAGGCACCTCTTTTAACGAGCTGTAAAGGCAGATCAAAGCGACTAACTTCGATTCCGGGGGATCCCTCCATCCCCACACACCCAAGGTACCCGGACCAGGGTTAGGCTCACAAAAATCAGCGCAGACCACCGCGGCGCTGGAGAACACAGCTGGACCAAGAGCCAGGAGGGCTGGTGCTGTAAGAACTTACTTGCCAAGACCATTTGCCTAGAAAGTGGGAAACAAGTTCGTTTGCACATTTCCATCTAACAACATGAAACGGTTGGCCAGCGGCTAACGTGAGAGAGGTAAGGAGACCAATTGCCATCTCCTCCCTTGAAGCTCTTCAGTTGTAGAGAAAAGAAATCACGATTACATTGGGTTTAATTGGGTAGAAAAGGGTTACCTGGCTGTTGCCTGCTAGTTGGGAAAGAAGATGTGGGGTCTGGCCTTTGTTCTTGGCATTGTATGTACTTTTTAGGGAACATTTGTTACTATAACACCTATAAACAGATTGCATATACAGACCCTTCTCAGGTGATGGCCACACCAGTAGCTCAATGAGTGGCAGAGCTGCCCTAATTGGTCTTTCCTCCGTATCTTTAAACGGATTAAGAACCCCAAACTTTCTGATTTACACTGGTGCTTATGAGGAAAACTTCAAATTTTCAGTTGCATATCAACCTGTGTATGGCCCCCTGGATTTTATCTAATCCAACTTTTCAGCATTTAAGGAGCCAACCCTAACATTCCGTCAAAATCCAGTATGTAAAAAAATAAAACCTTACCATATGAAAAAACACCTTACAAACACTGGTACTTCCAGGAAAAAAAAAAAAAAGAAAAAGAAAAAAAAAAAACAACAACCAAGGATACAGCCTTTTTTAGAAGAAATTTCTGCGCTTGCTCTTTTTCACTTCCCTCTTTATCATTAAAATTTTGGCAGGAAACACACTCTTGTGTTCTTATAATTCTTGGTCGCAAGAGCCAAAGCAGCCGCTCTCCGAAGTCTGTGGCTGCGCATCCACTGTCCCCAATCAGTGCAATTAAGCTGATTAGGGATCGCTTGGAGATCGCTGGCAGCTCAGCGGGGAGCCGGACATTGATGCAGAGGCTCAGAGGCGGTGACCGCTGAGGACCACAAGAATTCGACTGCAGGGAACTGAAAGGCACCTTCAACCACACTGACCAAGCAGGCTAAAAACAGATTTTTTTTGCTGTAATCCAGGGAGGCAGAATTCAGTGCAAGAAAGTACGTACCCTATCAGTATAGATGAAAAATATTCTACTTGTTATATACATTAGGACCATGAAGTAAACTTCCAAGCGAACCAGTGGAAGCTTCATTAGCCAACTGGACGTTGGCATACGTAAAGGACATACCTACCTACCGGATCAGCACAACTACCCAAGAGAAACACACATTTTGAATGTCTAATTCTTATGAATCTTGGAAAATGAAAAATAGATTCAAATGTCACAGTGGGACAGTGGAAAGAGGGCCTGTGTGAATGTGCACAATGCATCCAGAGACAAGAAAGCCGAAGGGAAACAATTCCCTATAAAAGAGAACGGGAAGTTAGTCAGATAATTTGGATAAACTAACCCCATTCATCGGTAAGAACGATCAGGATTATGGAGTTCAAACTGTGGCAAGGGACAAAAAGGGTAAAGATTATAAGAGGGTTGGGGTTTTTTTAATGAAAAGTAGTAAAGTGACAAAACAGTTTCCTAAGAGAAGCCGTGGGAGCAACGTTAGCAAGACAGCAAAACAGAAGCACGGATTTTCCCCTATTAGAGATGTCTGATGAAAAATGAAATCCATCCTGGCTGCAAGCCCCAAGGTGTCCCATGCTGTCCCCGAGACTCTGCACGTGTTATTACGTAGGAGCAAGCAATTCCTTTGGAGCTGTTTTAAATTGGTAACGCAAACTATGGGATCGGGACATGGAGGTCCAGCCTAAGATTTCTTTCTAGGTAAGGCGTGTTTTAGGGTGTCCCCATGGTGCCTGTCATTCCTCAGTCAGGTACGTTAATTCAAACCAGACGTCTCTTGGGCAACAGCTTTAGGCAGGTCTCTGTTTCCTCCTGCACCCGTACATAGTCAGGGTGCGTCTTCCAAATGCAGAAGGCTGGAGGGAAATTCTGATGGCCGAGATGATGCTAAACACCTCACGTCATGTGTTTTCCACTAACAGTATCTCAAGCCTGTCTTTGACAGTGCCACAGTGACTTCAGGAGAGAAACGTGCCCTAAAAGGTGAAAGGTTGAACCCCTCTCTCAGTGAAGAGCCAATGCCAAATTTCCACAATATACCAGCAAAGCATCTTAAATGCTTCTGCAATGCGTATCAATGTTAAGAGTTCACAGACGGCGATGAAATACATTACTCGAACATATTTTACATTGGTTGTGAGAGAAAGGAGTCAAATGCCACCATCAGCTTAATCTGATGCGAGGTCATTGCATGAGCTACGTACACCGTGCGCAACTCCGATTACAACTGCTGGCTTTCCTCTCTGCCTTTATCTTTGGAGTCGTGATTATGGGTGCCCACAGCTGAGCTATGCTGGTTGTTCAGGAAAAAGGTAATTTCTGCAGAGGATGTTTTACTACCTTTATTTCGATATTTAAACTGGATTTCTCATTCCCTCACAGTAAAACTCCGCTGTGAGGTCTGCCTGCTCTTCTGCAGCAGAACGGTGTAGGAATACAGTGTAGGAAAGGGACTTCTGGCAACAACCACGGTATTTTTCACTAGGAACAGTAAGCCTGATGAATAATTAACTTCTGGCTATATAGCCAGGCTCCATTTTCTTCACAGTACCTCACATTCTTGTTTCTTTGGAGGCCTTTCAATCCCATCCTCACCGTATCAAACAGACAGAAACTATTGCAGAATTACCGAGGAAACTAATTTGAACTTGTTTTCAAGACAGGAGAAGCAGTGTCAGCGCTACCACAAACGTGGATCCAGTTAATGTTATTTATTCAGACTATTTTCTTTCTATCAAGGAGAAACGGCAAGGCTCAGGGTTCCTTCCTGAGTCCTTCCTTGGGTCTCAGGGAAACGTATACCCAATGCTTGACATATCCTGGAATCACCACCAGGAAAACTTTGAAATCCTTGCCTTTAAAGATAACTTTGCATTATGGAAGAAGCCAAAACAGGAAAGTCTATGATGCTATAACTTACAGCCACTGTTTTCAAACTTGCTAGTAAAGAGGTGAATCCAAAATCCAAGCACTGGTTTGTGAGTTGCGGCCTTTGTAGGCCCTGAGAACTTGCACAGATTTAAAATGGGGTCTTGAGGGATGCTCCCTCATTATTTCTGGTATGGATCCTGCAATTCTATAAACACTCTCTCCCTTAAATTTAATTACAAGTATAGTCAAAGCATTTCTAGAATCATAGAATCATTATGGTTGTAAGAGACCTCAAAGATCATCAAGTCCAACCATATACCCGATGCCACTATGCACACTAAACCATGTCTCAAAGCGCCACATCTAAACATTTTTTGAACACCTCCAGGGATGGTGACTCCACCACCTCCCTGGGGAGCCCGTTCCAATGCCTAACGACTCTTACAGTGAAGAAGTTCTTCCTCATATCCAACCTGAACCTCCCCTGGCGCAACTTGAGACCGTTTCCTGTCCTAAATTTATGTTAGTGCTTATAAGATCACCGGTTACGGTACGGTTTATGATCCAAATTTCAGTCATCTGGATTTGAAAACCCATCAGCAAAAAGTCCACAGAGCCTGCAGAAACCTCTCTTCAAGAAGAGTCAATATTGCGCAGCATTCAATGCCTTTATGGAAACCACCTTCTATCAAAAGCTGAAGGAAATAATTTTCTTCCTTTCCTATCAAGTGAAGCGCCTAACGAACGCCTCTGTCTTGTGCACTCCTTTTGCCACCTCTCCGACATAAAGGCAAGCGTCACTCCCGATTAACCCCATTTCCTCTGCAGCAAGCGGGGCAGCGCCCTGCCCAGCCGCAATAAGCCAAGGCACAAAGATGACGGAGCAGTCGCTGTACAGGAAGGTGTTCCTTCATTAAATTTCAGCACACGGTTACTCCAGTTGGAAAATATGATTAAATAAAACTGCAGCCCACTTTCCTTCTCTGCCCAACAGGAGAAGCACCTGCTCTCTGTCTAAATGGGCTCGGGTGCACAGTATGAAACTTAAGGTCTACTTCTTTGAAAGATTTATGGGTATAGGAAAGTACTTACTTTTGTGCAACAAAAGAAGGATCAAAGAACTCAGACGTAATCCTGTTTGCATACAGGGAACAACTAGTCATAGAGCACAACCCTGAAAAGCATAAGACAAACCATTCAGTGGAGCCAGCAGAAGAGCTTTGGGCCTGACCCTGAAGCCAATGAAGTCATGGAGAATTGCGCGGGGATTTCTGCGGGAAAGAAGCAGCTCTGGTGTGACTTCAAATAGACAAACTTAGAGAAATAAGGTATATTTACCAGAGAGTATGAATATCAGTCCAGCTAAACAAGCTATCTTTGCTTTAGTCTGATCAGAGCCTCCGACTTTTGTACACTTCATCCCAACCAGTCCAAAAATGGCACCGAAGAAGCCCAGGCAGACGGCGGAGATCATCAATCCTCTGCAGGCTTGGATGTAACCTGCGGCGAGAAAGAGTAAGGCTAACGTGAGAACTGGGACCATACCGGGTTTCGCTGTAGTTCCTCTCCCTCTGCGCGGTGTTAGGCATTCACGATTGCAAACCGAATCAAACCTTGGCTGGAGTAATGTCACCTTACCATTGAATGTATTCTTCTAGGGGATGCATGCCCTTCACAGGGCACCATCACCCGAGCCCAGCTGGTAAGAAACACAGTATGGCATTCAGGGCTGCAAAAAAATAATCCCGTGGCATTGGGTACAGTATCTGCAAGAGGTTGTACCCACGAGGTTCTGAAGAACAACTCCACGTGGTCTGCGCAGTGGCTGTCATGGGTTACAGAACCACTCTGCGCACACAAAGCAAGTCTTACACATCAGCCTCGTCGTGCGTGGGTGTCGGAGATGCGATATGACTGACAGCAGGTTGGCAGCACTGACCCCCACGGGGGTCCTGGACCTGCCTGGACATGCCATCGATTTGATTTGGATCTGCCAAGAAGACCCTCGATCTGCACGGCAGTCAAACACGTGCTCAGCTTCATGGACAGCGTAACCCCTTGAGATAAAACAAACTACGGTCGTACTTCAGCCCGGACAAACGGCTTGCGGCTGGTTTTAGCCACGTACAATTTTGCGGCGCTGGCCGAAGCTGCTCTGAGCTGGACCTCCCAGGAGCA